TGCATTTAATCCCCAAATTCTACAATTAGTAGTTGTTGAACTTAAACCGCTAATATCAGACTCAGATCTTCATATTGCTCAATATTGTTTAATACTTTTAACAGCGACAGCTCTTAAGCATCCAAAAGCTCTTGAAGATACTCATGAGCAATTTTTGCCTGCTGTATTAATGCTGGTGCGTTCACCGCTTTTACAAGTAAGTTGTTTCTTTTATTATAATTAATTAATTATTTATACAGAGTGTGTATTTTTTAGGGTAGTGCACTGACGTGCACGTTAAATCTTCTTCAAGTCTTAGTTCAAACAAATATTCATCATTTGGACTACAATTCTTTGCTCAATAAACTTATGGATCCAGTTATCATTGATAATGAGCAGGTTCATAAACAAGCCCATCATTCTTTAGCTAAATGTATATCATCACTCACTCTAAAATGCCCCTGGGAAGCCATACCTTTGGCGTCGCGTCTTCTTGATTATATTCAAAAAACAACCGAATGTAATGATATAAAAATGAGCTTTTGTCTATTAACCATTRGAGAGATTGGTCGCAATTTTGACTTAAGTCCGATTTTATCTTTACCACAAACTTTAATTGATTGTTTTGGTGTTTGTTCTGAAGACGTCAAGAGTTCATCAAGTTTGGCCTTAGGTGCTGTTGCAGTTGGTAGCTTGAAATCTTATTTACCCCTTATATTAAAAGAAACAGAAGGACAACCGAAATGTCAATACTTGTTATTGCATTCATTAAAGGAAGTTATATCAGCATTATCTGTTACCCAACATGGACTCTCTCAATTACTACCTTCCGTTCCATCTATTTGGGTGCAGCTTATAAAACATTGTGAGAGTTCTGAAGAGGGTTCTCGAAATGTTGTTGCGGAATGTCTCGGAAAGTTAATTTTGGTTAACCCAGATGAACTATTGCCACAACTTCGTGATGCTTTATATTCTAATAATGCTATAATGAGAGCCGTGGTTGTATCTTCTATAAAATATACTATATCGGATCAACCGCAACCAATAGACCACTTATTAAAACAAAATCTAGGCGAGTTTCTTTCCTCTCTTCGTGATCCTGAACCAGGAGTAAGGAGAGTAGCATTGGTCACATTCAACGCGGCCATTCATAACAAACCAACATTAGTACGTGACCTACTGCCCACATTATTGCCTTTTTTATACTCTGAAACAAAAGTAAAGGTTAGTATTAATCATTTATYAATCAAATTAAATACATCTTTAAACTTTTTATAGTGTGAATTAATTCGTGAAGTTGAAATGGGTCCATTTAAGCATACTGTCGATGACGGTCTAGACATTCGCAAAGCAGCTTTTGAATGTATGTATACTTTGTTAGAGCAAGGACTTGACCGAGTTGATGTGAAACAATTTTTGGGACACGTGCAAGMTGGTTTATGTGATCATTATGATATAAAAATGCTAACATATTTAATGACAGCGCGTTTAGCTGTTTTATGCCCTGATGCAGTTTTACAACGTATGTTTAGTATCCAGTGTATATCTTTGCTACACTAAATTAAGAATTTTTTGTTTAGAACTTGACCAGTTTGTCTTGCAATTGCGGGAAACATGTATTTACAAAGTAAAAGCAAATTCTGTGAAACAAGAACACGAAAAGCMAGATGAATTAAAAAGGTCTGCACTAAGAGCCGTATCTGCGTTATCCCAAATACCTAATGCAGGTGAGTTACCGTTTTTTTTTTCTTTTCGGCTTCGAAATTAAATTATATTTCAGACAAAAATCAACACTTCACGGATTTCTTGAAAACAATCAAAGATATACCGGAATTGTGCAAAATTTACGAATCCATTCAAAAAGACTCAAATTCGGTCAACATTGAAAACGCATCGATGGATCAAAGTTAAAAGTAAATTCAGTTTTGTTTGGTAATACGAAGGGTTTGAATTAATGTTATATTTTCTGTTATCTGACAGATGTGGAAACCAACACGTCATCTAAAAAATATGGTAAAGGTTTTTCCTACGTATTATATGTAGATCTTTAATAAATAAATTAAAATTTCATATTAACTTCAATTGGATAGTCAAATTAATTCTTAAGTTGTAGTACGTCGTAAGTTTCCTTAAAAAAATAAACCGATTTTTGTAAGTGCGTGTGAATTACACACATTCAGAACTCGATTTTAAAGCTTAGATGAACTGAACGAACACCATATGTTGGGGAGTTTACCTAAATGATTGTAGATTACTGATTCTCCRATTTATCCTGGTATTTAAATCAGCAATATTTATTTATGTAGCCTGAATGCATTGTATAATAATTTGAAGGTTGTTTTATTCGCGACCACAATCAAACGAACATCTAAAATTTACATGTTTAGTGCATTTATTGTGTGTCAAAGCGACTCAGCGATAAAAAAAATTATCTGCTTGCAAAAGTCGAACGAACGGATCTATGCCGGACTGAATATGTATGCGTGCGATTAGATTATAGTTGGACATTCCCTGATCATGATTCTATCATCTCCTTGTCAATTACATATGAGTTATATTTATAAAATAAAGAATCATACAATAAGAAAAAAAATTAAAACATTCGTAAGCAAAACAAAAAACTATGTGATTTAATAATAAATAAGGCGCAGAACTTCTCACTTAAGGCGTTTGTTTTTTCCTCTGCGTTACGCCTCTATTACTTTTCGGAGTACCTGAGAATAATACTGAGAATTCTTTTTTTTTTTTTGGATCAAACGGATGTTAATATTTTTAGTCCCAATTCTTCAGCATAATATAACATCATTATTATATGCAAATATGAGAGCGAGATACCTAGGTAAGTAATCAAATGGCGAATAAAGTGGATCTGCTTGGTAAAACCTAACGATAAGTTTTCAATTCTTTAATATATTTAAATCTAAAGAAGCTCAAG